GGCGCGCCCGGTGGGCCGGCGGCGGCGCTTCGCGAGCAGGAGCGCGTGTACGAGTGGTTCGGGCTGGGGCTGGGCTCGGCGCAGCGCCTCGAGTTTCTGTGCGGGCTGCTGGACCTGTGCAACCCGCTCGAGCTGCGCTTCCTCGGCTCGTGTCTCGAGGACCTGGCGCGCAAGGACTACCACTACCTGCGCGACTCGGAGGCCAAGGCCAACGGCCTCTCGGACCCGGGGCCACTGGCCGACTTTCGAGAGCCCGCCGTGCGCTCGCGCCTCATCGTCTACCTGGCGCTGCTGGGCTCAGAGAACCGCGAGGCCGCCGGCCGCCTGCACCGCCTGCTGCCCCAGGTAGACTCGGTGCTCCAGAGCCTGCGCGCCTCCCGGGCCGAGGGATCGCCGGGCGGCGCGGAGGACGAGGACGGCGCGGATGCCGAGCAGGACGGCTCCGGGCCGGAAGGCGGCAGCGCCGAGCCCCGGGCCGGCGGCGGGCTCGGCCTCAGGGCCCAGGAGGAGCTGCTGCTGCTCTTCACCATGGCCTCGCTGCACCCGGCCTTCTCCTTCCACCAGCGAGTTACCCTGAGGGAGCACCTGGAAAGACTCCGCACGGCGCTGCGCCGGGGCCCCGCGGAGGTGGAGCCGGGCCACTTTGCTGGCCCCAGGGCCCAGGTAAGGCGCGGACGCGTGGTGCGGCCACCCCCGGCAGCCTCGGGGCCCCGGCTCTCCAACACCCCAGACCGAACCTCGCTCGGCTCAGGTGGCTCGCGGGCCCCTCCCCTCGGCTCACCGCCGTAGTACGGGCTTGGTTTTGCCTTGCCGTCAGTCCCCCCCCCCCGCCCCCGCGCACACACAGACACCCGCCATAACAGAATGCTCTAGAAGTCTCCTCCGTGCCAGAGTTGTCACGGAGGGCATGAAGTTCTCGGTCCAGGGTTCTTTTTCGCATAAGGGTCTCGGGACGTTTTGGGCTTTGAGCATCCCTCTGGCACTAAGTGCTGGGGAAAGCGCAGCGCTGGGGGAGCCTGTCCGTCTGCCGCAGTCCTGCCCCGGGCAGCGCCTCCCCATGCGGGATGACTGGTGCGCCGGTACGCCTTTTAAATCTCTGCCTTACTCCTCGGTGAGTGCCCCAAAGGTGCCCTCCCGGGGGTGGGGGGTGGGGTCTGCTAGAGGGACTTTCTGTTCACTGTATATCTGAGTTGAAAGGGGCTGTCTGGGTCTGGCCCTGCTCAAACAACTTTATGTTCCCAGAAGAAATCTGATGTGGAGACCTGCGAATTTGACTCAAGTCAGATGAGCAAGAACGCAGATTGTCCAGCTAAAGACATCTCTCCTAGGGCAGGCTGGCTATCCCTTTACAAACTGTGGCATAACCTTTCTACTGGGTTTGTTTCTGCCCACAGATTTGGGACCAGGGGGTATTTGTTGAGTCTTTACTATAGGCAGAAGTGCCATTTTCTGAAAGTTGTTAAACGTCAGAGTGTAGAAGAGGACCCAGATAAACCACTTGTGGCGAACATTAAAGATGAATGTTTTTAGAGCCACGAAAGCAATCTGATAATCTAGGCCCAATAAAGTCCTTGAGAGTGACAGTTTAACTGGGGAGAGGGATAGGTTTCAGTTAAGGTAAAGCTACATACAATAAGCTTATTTTCTTGGATCACAGTCTTTTAAAATATATTTACGTTGGATGTCGTGCTTTTCAATATATGTGGTCTTTAGAATGATATAGCGGAAAAGGCGATTTTCCCCCTTTGCTTAAAAGTTCATTCAACTTAGATCTGCTGTCAGTCAACACCCTGGAACTAAAATTGGGCGTTGTATTTCTCTAGTGGCTGTGTGGATTCAGTACCCGTGGAATCAAGGAATTTAGGGGGATTTAGAGATAATCTAGGTTGAGCCCTCTTTTTTAAAATGAAGCTTCCGTGAAGTGACTAACCCACGTTTCAGGTCTTACATTGTATCCAACTGAGATGTAGTAATGCTAGTAGCGCGCATTTTCTTGGTGAGCTTGTTTTTACTGTCTTCCAATGTCTGTTTAGTACTAGCATGCAAAGCGTCAGTAGTGATGGTAGTCAAGCCTACTTACTAAAATAATTCCCAAAAGTTGTCTGAATTCAGAAGTCTGTGTGCCACACAGCCATTAAATTTCGAGGAGAGAGACAACTCAGGAACAATGCTTAAAGACTTTTTAAAAATTTCTCTTAATGGTATATATAAAGATGACCTCAATAGAAGAGCTTTTATCATTTCATTAGCCAACAAGGATATCCGAATTCTGATTTTAATTAAATGCTAGGAGTCTTGAGTTCTTTTCTTTTTGAAAATATTGCTTGTAATGCAAGTGTTGGAAAGCAGCTAGACCAAGGGGGAAGATTCGCGCAGAACAGCGTACGTTATGAGATTTTTATCTTGACTGCAGTGCGTGGCCTTTTCTGGCACCCAGTGAGTGCTGGGAGGAGTGGATAGTCCTGTCGTTAATTTCAGCCCATCATTACATCTTAGTAAGTGCCCCGTGCTGCAGCCGTCAGTTGACCTAGGGGAGATAAATCATTGAGGATATGTGGACTACAGGTGACAGTGAAGGCTATTTTTAGACCCTGGTGGTGTGTTGAACGTTTTCCTCCAGAAGTAGCTTAGGGTTACCCTAACACCCGCGTTTTCTGCTTTTTAGAGTAGACCCGAAGCCCCCAGCTGCTCAGGCCTTGAAGACATGTCAGAGTATCCGGTTGTTCCCAGGCTGTCACGCCGGAGGCTGCTAATAGGAGTGGATAGATTCAGGTCCTGATTCGCTGCAGTCCAACCCAGCTGGCCCCCAGCTCCTGGGGAGGGAGGGTGCACCTCCGAGTCCGCATGAACGAGCCCGAGGCTCGCGCGTCCCTCGGGTGGGAGCTTCGAAGTGCGCCAGAGGGCCCGCGGTCACCTGCCACCACGGGCAAGCGGGCGAGGGCTATGGGGAGCGTCGCGGGGGCTCTTCCCCTCCCCCCGCCCTGCAAAATGGCGCTGGGGCGCCCGGCCACGTGACTGGCGCCGGCCACGCCCCTGTGAGGTGGGCTCCGCCTTTTGGGTCGCCCCTCGGCCTCCGCTGGGTGAGGAGGGAGGAGGGCTGGCGCTGGTGAGGTCCGCAGAGCCCGGGTGGAAACCACGTGGGTTGTGCACTCCGGGAAGGTTGGGCCGTGACAATGACACTGTGAAAGGGAGAATTAGTTTGGCAGCATTTTATTCTCCCAGAAGTAACCTTTCAGACACATGGCATGCGACTTTTTAATTACCATTTTTCTTAGATTGTCTAATGAAGTTCTTTGGTGCTCCAGTGTATTTTTATCCATACTAAATGGATTGTTTTTCTTTAGCTTTTCTATTTTAAAGTAAGCATGTATTAACCCAGAATAGTGTGCCTGTCTCATGATTTGTATCCAATCCCTGATAGGAAGCAGACTCTTCTAAAAACAAAACAAAAAAATACCCTAATGATGTTTCCTGGTGGAACGTGTGCTTTAATGCTAATTTTATATTAATTATATGCTCTCAGGAAACCCTTGTGGCGTAGTGGTTAAGAGCTACGGCTGCTAACCAAAAGGTCGGCAGTTCGAATCCACCAGGCGCGCCTTGGAAACCTTATGGGACAGTTCTGCTCTGCCCTATAGGGTCACTATGAGTCAGAATCGACTCGATGGCAACGAGTTTTTTTTTTTTTTTAAATGCTTCCAAGTTGACCAGGTCCCGCAAATATTTAGTGACATATCATGGTTATGACGTTAATAGTTGAGGTAACAGTCAAGCCCACAAATTACCAGGTCATGTTAGAAAAATGGAGGAAGATTCGACAAGTATTTTTCTACTTTTAAAAGTAACATTTTTGTAATATTGCCACAGTATTTCTTTGTGATTTGGATGATTTTGTAGTAAATATTAAATTGGGTTACAATTTAAATGTTGATTTTGCTTTTAGGAGGCTTGTACATAAATTTCATGTTTTTCAAAACTGGGTAGCCAGTGAAAATACTCATTAGGTAGTATATATATATATGCATACATATGTGTATATAACTAGGAAATAATACGCAGTTGATTCAGTTATGTTACATAGTTACAGAATTACATGTATAGCATAACTGAAAAGACTTGATGTTAGAGACAGGTTCCTTCCTATTAGGAACCCAAATTATAAGTGGTGTGTTAGCAATAGCAACAAAAAACTGCATATGTATTTTAAAAGATGCCATCTGTGTTTCTCTAGAGGTGATGTTTTCAGTGTCCTCAAAACTTGGTCGATTGGCTTGATAAATAGTGCTCGTGTTTAAATAAAAGATATATACTGTAAACTTTTAATACCCGGATACATGATCACTTGTGTATTAGTGTCATTTGAACTCAAAAAAGTAAAATGTGAACTCAGTATGATTTGAACTCAAAAAAATTGAAGTAGCGATGGGTCTTTTACTTAAAAAACTCAGTAAAGTTAGTTTAAAAAAAAACTGCAAAATTGCCACTTTGTATATGGTAATTAGCTATATGATAATTGTTACACCAAATACTTCAACTTGTTTATTATATAATACAAATAATATATTAGTAGTGTTGGGACCTGGAGAAGAAAATTTTTCAAGAAGTTTTAGCATAAATGCTCCTACTCTAAAATAACCTGAATGTGTATGTGGCAACCAGAATCCTAGTGCACATTCAGCATGCTAAAGAACAAAGACTTAACTTTCCTATACATTTTTCTCTGCCTCTTGAAAGAGAACTGACTTGAAATGAGAGGGGAAAGGTTAGTTGTCAGAATTTCAATTACCATTGTATTTGGCACTAAAAAGTTGTTTTTTTTTTTTTAATTGGTAAAACTGTATATAACAAAACATTGGCCGTCTCAACATTTTTTACTTGTACAATTCATTGACATTAATTACGTGCGTCATGTTGTACAATCATTGCCACAATCCATTTCCAAATTTTTCATCGCTTAAAAGATAAGTAGAACAATTCTAACGATCATAACGATTGTGAGGATGGCACTGGACCGGGTAATGTTTTGTTCTGTGTTACATAGGGTTTCTATAAGTCAGAATCGACTTGACAGCACCTAACAACAGCAGCAACAACCAACAGTGATCATTACCTCTAATAATTACTAACTGATTTAATTTGCTGGCTTCTGCTGGGACATAGGCTGACTATGAGTTGGAATCGACTTGACGGCAGTGGGTTTCGGTTTAGTATCTCTGCAGCGGTGGGAGCTCTTGAGAAGGCTTTCTTCTCTGTTAAGTGGAGACATTAACAGTACTTAGATTAGGAATATTAGGACAGAATGAATAAATACTGATAGAATAATGTCTGGTATGTGGTTCTCAATAAATATTACTATTATAGGTAAATGTTAGGCCTTATTTGGAAGAAGGTATTGGAGGAGTGGGTGTAGCATCTCACAGATTGAGAGTGAGGAGTAGAAATAGCTCTGTCTTCTGTAGGAAATTTTAGGTTGCTTTGGCTGCAGCAATGAATAAAAGTAATTCAGTTATAAAAGCTCCTTTTGGTAGAGTCTTTTAGAATATCAGAGTTAAGTAGTGATTATTTTGGGAGCAAATGTGAGTTATTAGGTATCCTTCTCCAGTTACTTACGTTTTTCTGTGCAATGGTTTTCTCAGGTAAGGAGAACTTGCTTGTACCTTTGT